ATACAAAATTTTAAGTTGAAATGCTTCAGAGATATTCATTGAAGATAGTAATTATTCAGAATCAACTAGAGAAGGAGACTCGAGAAATGAATATTAGGACGTCTCGTACGTTCCCAATCCCTTGATTCTTACGACAAGCGTGAAATCTGTTGATCTTTTTCTTTTGGAAGTTTGTTAGAGACAACTGTACATATATACTGATGATAGGAGACCAAGATGGACGCCTGAACTTTGAAAACTTTTGAGAAATTCAGTAAATGAAAGATTAAGTGCTATAAGAAAAGGTGATCTCTCTCGTTTTACAATATTTTCCCACCTTTCGGTCATTATACAGTCGCTATAAAATTTCTGTAGTTTTTTGTATTAAATGATCTAACATAACTGTAACGCGTATTTAAAAACGATTGTATCATCTTGCTTAACTCCGACGTCTTTGTCTAAAATGCCGTATTACTTAGTTGCGAGAAAATCGTTTCCTGCATCATCGCTCCATGGTCAGAGGAGACTGGATCGTCGAACAAGGGGTCTAGCGTGTCCCGTGGAACGTCAGTTAATTGGTGAAAGTATAAGGCAGCAAGTTGAACCCTGTAGTTACACGAGATTATTATTTACAGCGTCGTCGATACGATTCCTTGTAGAGTAGAAGCCTCGAAAAAGCAATAGCCAATGGAATGCCAGCCAGGGCTGCGGCAGCAGCTGGCCGATGCGCCGCCAAAGTGCTCCCGTTATTGATTTACGTTGATAGCTTCTTGGATCTTCGGTACGCAACTCCTGGTGCTTCGTTGCGTACCGAGGCCAGTGTAAACAGTGCGTAAAATTACTTTTTCGAGTTCTCGTCCATCTACGGGGCCCTCGAACGACGGCACGGCAAATTACCTGCGCGTCCAGAGCCGTGTGATTAGAGCGTTTCGAGCGTGGCGATCTTTATACTTTTATCGAGCCTTTATGATCCGCCGGGGTCGGTTCGTATATTACCCGAGGCCGATTACAATGAGGTTTTTAAAACCAACCCTGTCTACGTTTTAATTTCGACACTCACGCCCATCGTCGTACCACATTCGTCACCGCGACGGGTTAGGTAACCGGGGAATAGTCGCTGTGATAGGTGATCATTAAAATAGATTGCTTCATCGAGTTACTGGAGAAGATGGCAATCTTCTGAAGTGGCGCAGGCGTGCGTCAGAAATTGCGACGGAGACACGGAACTTTACGGATTTGTGAGAACTCGGTGCAGACGAAGATTGATGGTTAAAAGCAGATATTTTATACAAGCTTTTTATATGTTTAATGAGACCCTTTGCAACCCTTTGCACTCTGCCCCATCTCGTTGCAAGATGTGCGGACAGGAATCGCGTTACATAAAATAATCTAACTTTGGAAACGTGCTTTTTTTTAGTGTTACAAACGGCCCTCAATTTTCGCACATTTTAAAAGTTTCAATTTTTTAAGGCAAAAACAAATGCCAAAGAATGCGATGAAACGAAAAATTGTTCCTGGAAACAATTATGCCCACAAATGACAAGTGTTTTAATAAATTTTGAAGAAATCACAGATGAAATAGTTAGCCTAATGAACGAGCTAAACTTGGACGACAATAATGAAGATGTTAACGAGTTGATCGAATCTCACTGGGCACCGCTGTCAAATGACTACCTAATTGAGCAACGATTGAGTAACAATAAAATACACAATGAAAGTGAGGAAGAAGAAGTTGATTAAAAATATGAGTGAAGCCTTCGTGCATCTTGCAAACAAACTGTTTACTATCATGGAAGAATGTGATCCCAACAGAGAACGTATACAGGGTGTTCCAGAATTATTGTAAGGACGAGAAATATAAATATATCTTTCCTGAAGCGTTGCAACGTAAGTCACTAACAAAATTTCTGAAATAAGTCTTTGACTCTATGCTATCGAAGAAACTATTCCCAGAGCGCTGCTCGCTTCTTTCTCGCGTCGATCTCGAAAGCATCGGTATCAATTTGTACACAACAGCGTGTAATTGCGAGAATGAAAAAATTCCGTCAAACAGGAATTCAATTTGCGCGTTCCTCGGCATTATTCTCCGCCGATCCACCGGCCCGATCCGTTTCACCGCGGCGAATCGATAAACCCTTTTTCGCTTGCCCCCGTTCCCTGTTACCGAATTTTTCGAGTTCCAACTAATTACGCGCTGTAAACGCGACTGCCGGGAAATTTATGTAGCTCGTTCGGCCCGAGAGGGATGCTCCGAAACGTTTCAGGTGCGCAGGGCAATTACGCAACGTTTCCGCCATGCGTCGCCCGCGGAATGCGTCGGCCGAGCTGCAACCCTGCCCTTCGGGCGGCTATAGCTACGTCTTTATGCGCAAATTTGCGAGGCTCCGGCCTGCAAATTTTCTGAATCGACCGACTCGACGTCCCGTCCGCTGGGTCTTGTGAATTCCGAAACGGAATGTCCTCCGTTGGTACCCTGTACTTACTTGGCCTACCACATAGAAGGCCCATTGGGTAAAACGGACCACAAACATTCACCGTTCTGCCGTCCTTTCGGGAAATTATACGTTCGCGGTGGTTGTTTGCTATTGGGATCCCATTCGCGAATATTCGAATCGTGTCCTTGTATCGCGAGCACTGCTATACGATACGAGCAAAACCGAGGATAAAGTTTGTAATTATTACTCCAGACTTCTCGATTTGCATGTATTCCATGTGTAGATATATACTCGAAGATGCTAGTCCGAAAAGAGGACTTCAGTTACACGTCTGCGCGCTTTATCGCTCTGCATCTTTTGCAACATACGAATATTTATTCAACCCACGGGCGATACCGCATCGACCAATGAAGACGTTCGAAAATCGCCAGCGAACAAACAAATAAAAACGTCTATGCTCCCTCTTTTCCATCCGGACACTTTCTCCTCGTCGCGCCTTGAAATATGGTTACACCGATCCTGTTTCTCTTAATCTCGGCGCGTACATCTGTATCAAACGAATCTAAAGACTAATTGCTCGACAAGGTCCGTGTTGTTTGCGTGCTTCGACACATCCGTCCCCCTTAAATAAATAATTTCAGAAGTCGCTTTCGAGAGAGCGACGAGGGAATGTTGAAACCGTGAGCACGGTCTTTCGGAAGGCCTGAAAGCCTCGCGGGTAAATCGTCGAATCATAAAGTTTCCGCGCTGCCGAAGTTATGTGAAAAGGCGAGCACCTCCATATATCACGCGGCTCTAAATTAGATCACATAATAAATTCTTCCCTCGCGGCAGGTTGGTAGCAGCACTCTGTATGCATAGGGTAGCCAACGTCTTGCCAGGTTACTTGTTGCTGCTGCAGGTTCTCGCTCCGGGCACCGACATACCGCTTTTGATTCCGTGAAGGCCAACCTATTTCCGATATCGGAAACCTGCGGAATCAGCTCTCGGGGCGATGATTACAGGCCGCGTGATGTATGAGAGATTAGTCGAACGCGAAACTCGAATGGATGCTGGAATTTTAGAAAACTATTGGCGTTATTTATTAGAGAGTATTGGGGAGCATTCGAGTGGCTCGTGGGAACCGAAAACTGGACTTTATTGGAAGAAAAATCTAGCGGAAGGGTTCCCTTGTTAAAGTTCCAAGGATTCGAGAGAGGTTCGAAGAAGTCGGACAGGGATTGACAAAAACGGGATGTTGCGCGAATTCGGCCCATTGTCCGTCGGATATTCGACTGAGGTGATAATTTGCGGGTCACGATTAAGACATGGGATCATAAATCGCGTCGTGGCACCTCCGTGGTGCGTGACCAATCGGCCATTAAGGTAACGTTCGGATCACGCGAGAGGTGCCGGGTTAATTTGCGAATCGTGTTATCCTCGACAGCTCGTCTAAAATTATTCTCAAACTGCCTGTGATTCGCACGCGTCCCGTCGAGTGGCTCGATTCCTCCCTTGCGGCTCAACGATTTCTAAAATTGAGGTCTGGTGGTCTGCACGACTAGCAAATGTTTATTAAAAAATTCCATTCGGCTACGAAATTGTATTAATAGGTACACTTTATCTACTATTACATACAGTCGATAAATATTCGTACCTTCTATTCGTACTTCTATATTGAAGACGTTTGATTAAGTTGACATGTTGATAGCGACGTCACTTATATATGGGTGACAGTAATTTTCACCGAAGAATTAAACAAATTAATTCTGTACGAGGTCTGAATCGATTCTGAGTATCAAAGAAAATAAATTTGAAGGTACAAAAATAAATACTACACTAAATGTCTTATGTAGTTTCCAAAAGTCTAGAGAAAACTTAATCACAGAGGAAATTTCCAAGAGTACTAGCATGGCAGTCAACGTTTTGATATTACCAAATGAATATAAAATACATAGAGAGAATATTTATTTACTGTACTCAATATGTAAGCATGAAAATTTAGAAAATATTTCAAATGACAAGGAGTGCCCAGAAAATTTTTCTCTAAATTCTAAAATCTCTCGAACGCAGTCTCTCGAAATCTGAAGAAACCTGCAATCCAATTTCGCCATTCCCGAGTTTCGTCTTGTTTTGATATGTAAAGTCAGAATCACCTCCTAAAGTTTCTGACACCTGTTGCCAAACGCACTGTATAATTAATTCAATCTTCGCGTTCCAACCCCGAAACTCCTTGTTCCCTTTTTTTCTGCTGCATATAGAATATGTACCTAAACAAAACCAACACGAACGCTCCGGCGCGAACAAATAAACAAATTTTTCTTTTCTTCCTGTTGCTCGGGTAGACGTACGAAACTGGTATGCTAACGTTCCACGATTTCCTTAGAGGTTTCACCTTTCATATTTAAATTAAGGCTCTTCGCACTTCGGTGTTCATTTTTAACTTCGCGCAACCGTAAAATTAAAACAATTTGAAGGGAGTCGTATCGCTTCATCGGCTGAAGTGTTTTGCAATCTCAAGAATGATTGCCAGAAAATTGCGAGTAATTTCTCGAATATTACTAAAGATGCAAATCGATTTCACAGCTGTGATTTAAAGGTCGGGGCTCGTTTATTAACGGCGTCGGATGACGTGGGCACATTCGAAAATGGATTATATCGAGCGACACTTTAGCCGTTTCACGGGGCACCAAAAAGAAGGCGAGAAGGCGTTCTGACAAAAAATTTCGCACGAGCACGTGCGTGACACGAGAGAAACACTTCGGGGGCCAGTTTGCATCAAAGTTTCGCCGCCTCTTTCGCCGCGTTGTCTCGTGACATCTGGCACACGGCAACCTCGTTTGTCTCGTTATAAATCGGCTAAATTGGATAATCTGCGCAACTTTCGCGCCGCGCCTTGATCTTTCGCGCCCCGAACTTTTACACGCCATAATTTACTTTGTTTCTCCCGAACAAATAACACACAGCAGGAAGTAATTTTCAAATGTGCGCAAAGAAACGGCCGAGCTTCGGCAATTTTAAGAATTTAAATGCGATTCAGCCAGAAGGAGAGCATAATGGTTGCCAGGGGGAGTCCTTGAATCATGATCTGCTTCGGGAGGCCTGACTCTGATATGGCACGGGTAATTGGACCCATAAATCCCAAAAGGCCACTGGTCCAGCAAACCTTGTTTCCAAATAACGAGCATTGTTTGTACGTAGCTACTATTACAAGGAAATATTCGTGTACTGAATGAAGAATAAAATCTCCTCTTTTAAAGAAATAATGCAGAAACTACACCAAACACGAAACTCGACCAGCGATACAATTCCAACTTTAGCAGATAGAAGACTGCAAGTGACACTATCAAGATCGAGAATTGGCCACACAGACTCATTGCTACAAAATGAATTTTGCGACGAATCCCTTACAGTAAAACGTTTAATTGAAGAATGTCAGGGAGTACCAACAGAAACGAATTCCTCGATTTAATCAAGATATTAATGAAATATAACGTGTTAATTATAATTAAATTGTAATCGTCGACGTGGTCACTAATAACCTCTGTAGCTGATGTGACCTTAAATAAAGTAATTAAAAAAAAAAAAAAAGAAAAGTATTCAGAGAATATACTATAGGAAATTATAGCGACAACCACCCCCAAAAATCATCCATAATCCACTGTAGAAAAACTCATCATGCAAGTGCACACGGTGCTCACGCATACGTCTACGGCAGTCGTCCGCAATCGCCCCTCGCCCCGGGATATTATCAACGCGATAACTTCCCAACTCCCGAGCGATGCAAACAATCCAACTTCCACGCAATCACACGGGTCGCCGAGCACAGCAGAGGAACACGTTCCCCGTCCGTGTCTCGCCAGCAGCTACGCCACTGCGGACAAAGTCTGTTCGTCGGAAGGATCCACCGTGGCAATTTACGCCTCATTATGCGGGGTTACGCTAACAAGATACGGACGAAAAAGGAAGCTGAAGCGTCCACGCGAGGCTGGCCGCACGTCCGGCGACGGGACTCCGTAAAACTCGCCACGAAAAAAGGGGTGTCCCACGTTTGTGGCAAGATACGGTCGCGTAGCCACGTCCGCGATTAATTCGTCAGGTTATGGGGCCCGGGATCCTCTCGCTCGCACCCACAGGGCGGGGCGAAGACGAGTTCACGCTGCGACGATTCGGACGAACGATCCAGGGATCTCGAAATTGCTCGACATGCCCGCACGAAGACAGCTCGTGGGACATTATGGGCACGCAACGCGGTGAATCTGCAAAAAAGAAATCTCGAGGGCTGGCTTCGATCGTTACGGACCCGAGGCTTCGTAGTTCCGAGAGCCTCGTTTGCTCCGTCCCGCGACGACTCTTTCTTTTATTCCTCCATACACTCGGCGACGAAATGAAGTGGAGGTTTTCGTGATTCTCGAAACGTGGATGAAAGGACCACTGGCTTGGTCACTCGACATTAAACTGTTTCGAGAGGAAGTAGTATGCAGATCGTATGCTCTGGAGGTTTGTTTGAATTCGAAGTAATGTTGTTGGGAGGAATAAAGAAGAAGATCTTATGTGATCAAATTTCTATTCGTGATGGAACGTGAGGAGCTAAAATTAACTCTGCACTTTTGGAGCAGTGTCATTCTTTTGGCATAATAAGATGCTAGGCTCTCAATCTATACCTGAAA